CCTTCTCAGTCTATTTTTTTCACAGCTTTTGTCTTGAAAGGACCACCTGAGGCAGTGAAGAGAGGTCAGTCTTTGCTAAAACTGCCAATGTGATGATAACTAGTCAGCTTTTTGAATGCACGTCCTTAAGCAGGGATTAACAAAAGTGATTTAGAGCTAGTAGAACCTGGCTGAGTATGACAAAAAGCTTTCTTCATCATGTGCTGAAATCATATCCCTGAAGGTTTCTTGTATCTCTACCACAAAGTGTAAGTTATTGCTGTCTTATTTAAATTTAAATCTAATTTATATCTGTTGACTTTATCCTTCATTTGCTGGCTTTATTCATCTTTGCATATCTCTGTAATAGCTCTGAGCTGCTAGAGAATCTCCCACTGGATATAGACCCTGGTGGGACATTTAGCTTTTGTGTTCTCTTCTGGACGTGGATCAGAGTATGCAGCCTTGAATGAAAGGACAGTCCAAGTTGGAGCTACAGTCAGGGACTATAGGAATCAGTTATCCCTAGGCGTCTTGTTTGATGTTTGGGAACTCTATTAGGGCTTGCCTGCATGGGTGAAGGCAGGCTAAGATGCAATCTGAGCTCATCAGGTGCAGGTCTGTTAGTGCTGTGCCTGAGCTGTGCTGACTTACCCTACAGATGCAAGACTTGTGTCCTGGAGCTGGCTTGTGGAGTCTGGGGCTGCTTCTGTGTGCACAGGCATGCCTGAAGACTCCCTGTGCCATGGTCTTTCCAGGTGAAAAGGGAACACTAGAGCTTAATGCCTGTCCAAACAATGCTTGTGACAAGCCGTTGAGGGAAGAAGTCATGAGGTGAAGAGTTCTCACAAGCACTCTGAAAATATGGAATGGCTTTTGTTATTACGTTGATTGCCAAAAAAATGCTCATTAGTAGTGTTCCCTTCCCTTGCTATAAGCTTCTAAAAAACTTTTTTCCAGCCCCAGATTCCCGTGATTGGAGGCTGCTTCAATTTTTTTTTTTCTTTAAAATAAAATGAGGTAAAACTGAACGTTTCTTCTTGAATGGTATAGGCTAAAACCCCCTTCTTTCTAAAGAGAAGGCCCTCTACCTTTTTTTTTTTTCCTCTGACAAGAAGTGATTTAAGAAAGGCAGAACTTCAGCAAATAAGCCTCATGGAGTAACCTGGTGTTGGCTTCATTTGAAAACCTCGACTGTAGATGAAGAGACCAGTGGGTGTTTGAACTGCTGTAGCGTGAACACTGCTCACAGATAGATGTGGAGGCTGATGTGTAGAATTCAAAAGCTTTCTAGGAAAGTTTTTGAATGCTCGAAACCAAAACACTTCAGACTTCAAGTTAGGCTTCACTTACAGTCAAAGAGACAGTGGAAACGGTGTACTGGGAACAGTGCAGCAGGTCAGTAGGTATGCTAGAAATTGGCACTTTTTCTCCCACATCTTCTCCCCCCTTCCCCGCCCCCCCTCCTAGTTTCTAGGGAAGCAAGGAACTGTAGCTGTTTGTCCTACTTCAGCTTGTGAGAGGGCTTAAAAGTATTTCATCAATGAGTAAGCTGGGAGTAGCTGGTGTAGTCATAGAGTACACTTAAAGCCTGAGGTTTAAGAGTGGAACTGGAGAAGGAGTAGGGCTGAGACTTTGCAAGGTGGATGGACACCAGCAGACAGGTCGCTGCTGCTGGAAGAGGTCTTCCCCTCTGCCAGCTGCCTAGTCCCTCTGCTCACTCTGTGCTAGCTCTTGTGGTTCAATGACCCTTTGCCTCGCTGGGTCCATTTGCTGAGCCCTTGGAGTGAGTGAGAGGTTGGGGAGGGAGAGCTGCAGAGCTGGTGCGAATGGAGGGAGTGAGACTGAGGGCTGAGTGGGAGTGTGTCTCTGGCAGCAGTTGAGCTTAGTTTGGCTGTGCCTTCTCATAAAGCTTCACCCCTGGGAAAAGCTCTTTGTTCCCTGCCTAATGTCCCTCTCCCTGGAAATCTGTTCCTGGCTTCTGTAAGCGTGCCACTGCTGCATGCTCGCAGTCCCTCTTCTCAAGGCCAACTCTGTCTCCACTGAGGTTATTATCTCTTAAGAGCCATAAATGAACTCTTAATTCTGTGACTTACATTCAGTGATGAAATTAACCAATTTATTCAATGAAATATATCGTACTTGCAGTATGACATGTAAATGTGGCTGTTGAAATCTTAAACTTTGCATTTCTGATTTTGATGTTTTTTATGTCATTCCCCCTCCCCCCCATGTACAACCTTAATAATTTACTAACAAACTGCATAAAATGCATTGCTTGGATACATTCAAATGTCTATTTCTTGGACATAAAACTACCGTTCAGTGAAATGCCAAGTACCACTTCTCTCACGTAACTAACATCTTGTAAATGCAATATTTGTGCTCCTGAACACATGAAGAAGTATCTCATGTGAACATTTAGGCACATCACTTCTTCTGTGGAATGCAAATCTGTAGGACTTGTTGTCATATGGGTTTTATTCACCTTTGTACCTTTTTTTAAAGCAGATTATGAAAATATTTATCATTACCTATGTATTTGTCTAGAGACTGTATTGCCACAATGCATGTGTGCCCTTGTTATACCTGAATGACTTAAATATTTTTGTGGCACTGTTATGTATTGCCTGGCTAATTTGTAAGGGAAAAAAAGAGATAATCTTGCTGCTTTTAGCAAAAATTTAATCGAACAGAAGAGTAAGGTCTAATATTAAGGCTTTTTTTTCTTTAAGAACATATTCTGCAGTAAATGTACCAGCACGTTATGGAGAATTATCGTACTTAGAGCTGTTCTGCCTGTGTTTTAAACAAATGAGCTTTTTTTTTTTTTCCTATTTGAAGCTTCATGTTTACTTAGTAAGCAAAGCAGGGCTTTGGACTGTTAGACTATGGAGGCTGTAACAATATATTACTAAATGTAGAGTGATTGTGTGAATGAACAAGGTTTTAATCTCGTGATACAGGAAGCTTTAACAGTTACAGTGCTGACCGAATCTTAGAAGAATTTCAGGGATATCTCGACTGCCATTCAAGCTCGTGTTAACTATTGCCCTTCCCACTTATGATCGCATAACTGACCCTTGGACAATCAGGATTTGCTGACATGCTTTCCTAATGTTAATTTTGCATTTTAAGCTCTATTGTAAAAAAATTTGTCAGCTGCAAGCAAGAAGTGGTGGCATCATGTGCACAACAAGGGCTGTGCAGTCTGTAAAACATAATCTGGGCATCTCTTTTTTGGTACCTTGCACCATGTATGTGCTAAGTTTGGGAGTGAGGGAAATCTTGCCTAGCTTTCCAGCAGGACTGATGTTAACACTGTGGTGAGAGTGAGGGTAGGTGCACAGCCATCAGTTGTGTGCCCCAAGGCCATTTAGTGTACTCATTCCTTGTGCCAGCAGTGTGCTAGCTGGAAGGAGAAGAGGGTAATATCTGTTTTGTGGGGAAGGGGTTGCTGGAAGCAAAGTAAATTAAGGGGGCTGTAAAAAATTGATAAAGATAGGACTGTCTGTTTTTATATTCTGCCACATAACATGGGTTTAAATGAATTTCCCTATAATTTGTCTTCAAATACCAACATTTAACTCTTAGGCTGTATAAATGAACTGGCTTTTTCTAGAGTAAAATTCATGCCCTGCGTCCAGGCTAATATGTTCACCTACTATAAACATTACTGCTATGGTTACAACCGGAATAAAAAATTCCTTTTATATACATCATAGCTGGCAGAGACTCCTGAGACCAACACAAATCACTTCAGCCTTTTGGTGCTCTCTGACGAAATGAACTGAAATGTAAAACAGCTCAGGCTTCGGGCAGGCTGGCTCTGGAAAGCAATTAGTTTGTTTAGACCATTGTTTGTACCCTCCCATAATTCCAGGTGCAGAGCAAAGGTGTTCTGGGAGCTCTCCTGGCTGATTTAAACATTGGGGTTTAATAACCTCTTGTTCCTTCCTAAAATGTTTTTCTTATTCTCTGTGTAGCCTTTTATTTAAAGCAAGGAACAACAAGCAAACAAAAAACCCTGGCAAGCCCGTCCCCTTCCCCTCCCCCCCCCCAAGGACAGAACAGGGAATAACAAAGCAGTGAGTTATTTATGCAGCCATGATTGGCAAAAATGATTGCAACATGAATTTGCCCAGAAGCAATGATTAGATCATAAAAATGTTAAGGAAATCTGTAACTCAACACCATTTTATAGATTGAAGAAGTTTTTGTTCCCTACCTTAATTGCGGTGACTTGTTATTAAAGTATTTATTCAGAGTAATCTCTTTGGACAGCGAGCCCTTATCCTATCTGCATGCATAATTAAAAGTGAGGGGGGAGAGAGGGAAGCATAAATGGTTTACCATGCTACATGAGCAAGGGAGGGAATTACACAATGACAGGTGAAGAGCAGATTTATCTCCTGTTGGAATTTCAATGCTGCCAGCAAGGCAGGGACACTGTTGCTTGCTAATATCCTTGCAACACCACAGTTGCTGCTTCTCCAGATTACTGTCCAAAAACCATTGCTGGTCTCTAAAAGGCCTGTAGCGCTGCATCTGTAGTTCTGGGCTTTGAAGCATTTGGTGCTTAAGGAAAAAGATTGGATTTGGGTATGTGGGCTTGTGAATCTGTGCCTGTGCTTAAAAATGGACTATTTACTTACTTGGCTGGCTATTTATTTATTTATAAATAAACATTGGTAGTGTCTGGCTTTGCTGAATACAAATCAGAGGGTTGTAATTGTTCCATCTGAAACAATGTCATCACCTGCCTCCTGCTGCTGTCCCTTTTCCAATGATAAAAGAATTTGGTGCAATTCTTTTTTCACTCTCTGAGTAGAAAGAAGGTTGTACTTGAACATTCATCTCTAGGCAGATTTGTCATCATTAGGCAGTACTCAAACACACAGTATCTGTTTTTAAACTGAACTGTTATGGATCTAAATCAGAATTACACAGAGTAAGTTGGTATATATTTGACTCTAACTATTTGCTAAAGAGTATTTTTCCCTTAACTTCTGATGTCTCACCTCTGCAGCAGCAGTACAGAGAATGTCAGGAACTTTTGAGCCTTTATCAGAAGTATCTAGCTGAGCAGCAGGAAAAACTATCTCTCTCCCTTTCTGAACTCAGTGCTGCCAAGGAAAAAGAGCAGAAGGTAAGGTCTTTTTTTCCCCGTCTCCTTTTTTAATGACATCTTCGAAACATTTTTTCTCTTTTACTAGAACTGTAACAATAAGTGTGTTGTCTTGCATTACATAGTGTCATACAGTTTTGTGATTGCCTTCTCATGAGTCCTTCCCTTAATATGTGGATTGCAGGAAAACAAGCCCCCCCCCCCCAAGTTTTGGCTGAATAAAATGGATGAAGTTAATTGACCTTGTTGTAATGGAGTAGAAATCATAAGAATCATAGGAATCATAATGTCTTTGCTAAGCAAAAAGTTAAGATGCTCTTCTGTTTTCTGTCCTGTTTCTTAAAGAGTAAAATAATTGCAGTCACTATAGATACAGCCTGTCAAATTTTCATTGTGGCTTTTGATGATTGAAAAGGACATTGCAGATGATCTATTTGGTCAATAAGAGCTTTCTCAAGTCTGTAAGGCAGCCCATCTAATTTGAGCTGTTTATAGAAGACCTATAATTACATACACAGTTTAAAAACAGAAAATGTTGACTAGAGATACGTGTTAAATTAAGTGGTAAAATGTTTGTCAGATGTATGTGCCCAAAGCCTTGAAAACATGTTTGCTTGAGATTTTTTTCTGATAGCTAGGTACTTGTTTTGCATCCCCACTGATAGCAGATTATACCTTGGAAATGAAGGCTACTTATACAAGTGCTCTGTCTGATGTTCTTACCTGCTGTTCTTTTTCAGTAGCTTCCGTCTGCAAATCTCTTGAGTCTATCCTGTGTAAGACTATGTCTTTTCTATAGGTTGGGCCCTTGATGCTTTCTTTGGCTGGAAGAGTGTGAAAGGCTTATAACAGGGCTAGAAGTAAAGTCATCAGCACAGAGTATCCAGAAGGTGGCCTGATTCTGGCCTCTCAGCGGTGCCCTACTATGAAATTACACAAACAGATCCTACTTCTCAGGAGCCTGTGAAGGAAGGATTCATTTTTAATTCTGTTCTGGAAGCAGGCAGCAGTACTCTGACTTCATCAGCATCAGAATTTTTCTTTTATCCAGATGATGGGGTTTATTTTGTAAAATATGTTGTTGGACATTGAGCTGTCTGTCAGACTTTTAGCCTTTATAAGCATTTTATTTCCATTCTTTTGTATTTTTATCTGCCATCCACTTTGTGATGGCATTGAGTTCAGAACAAGAACCTTTTTCTCTGAGAACAGGTGGTGCCAGTCTTCTTGCCCGTGATACGCAGCTTGCTGGGGATCTTTGTGGAGAACAGTGCAGAGGAGTGCATGTAGTCCAACAGCACTGTGGCAGCCATGTTTGGGATGCTGCCAATACCTCTCAGGATATGCCGTGTTTAACCTTTGACCTTTAGCCTTTCAACTTTCTGATGCAAGTGGTGGAGGAACCAACAAGCAAAGGCGTTCTGCTGGGCCTTGTACTAACACACAAGGAGGGACTGGTTGAGGATGTGAAGGTCGGTGGTAAACTCGACTGCAACGACCATGAAATGGTGGAGTTCAGGATCCTGCGTGGAGGAAGCAGGGCGATAAGTAGGATCAAAGCCTTGGGCTTCAACAGAGCTAACTTTGGCCTCTTCAAGGAGCCACTGGGAGGAATTCCATGGGCCAGGGCTCTTGAAGGCAGGGGGGTCCAAGAGTGCTGGTTGCTGTTCAAACATCACTTCCTCCATGCTCACGAGCGGTGCATGTCCCTGAGAAAGAAATTTAGCAAAGGAGGCAGGAGACCTGCATGGTTGAACAAGGAGCTTCTAGCGGAGATCAGGTGGAAGAGAAGGGTCCATGGAATGTGGAAAGAGGCGCACGCCACTTGGGAAGAGTACAGGAATGTGGTGAGAGCATGCAGGGATGCGACGAGGAAGGCCAAAGCCCACCTGGAATTGAATCTGGCAAGGGATGTCCAAGACAAGAAGAAGGGCTTCTTCAACTACATCAGCAGCAAACGGAAGACGAGGGATAACGTGGGGCCGCTGCTGAACGAGGAGGGTGTCCTGGTGACAGACGATGCAGAGAAGGCAGAGCTACTGAATGCCGCAACTGCTTCAGTCCTCAGTGCCAAGCCTGGCCCTCAGGAATCCCA